CTACTAACCCTAACCCTAACCCTAACCCTAACCCTAACCCTAACCCTAACCCTAACCCTAACCCTAACCCTAACCCTAACCCTAAACCCTAAACCCTAACCCTAACCCTAACCCTAACCCTAACCCTAACCCTAATCCTAACCCTAATCCTAACCCTAACCCTAAACCCTAACCCTAACCCTAAAACCCTATACCCTAACCCACTACACCGCGATTAATTACGGTGGTGATGGAGCGTTCTGATACACTGAAAGTTAGCTATTCTGCGATTCGACCGTTTCAAATGACAACGACCGTTTGCGAGACGGAAATTAGACACCAATTGTTATACTTTCCAACCATACCAGTATCTAATATCATTTCAAAGCAGATTAATTAGTTACTAGTATTAATTTTAGAAATGACGTAGTAATCTGAAATCCTACCTGTATGGTTTCTCTCCAGTGTGCGTCCGGATGTGTACTTTCAGACTAAACATAGTCCGGGCCTTGTGTCCGCAGTGTTCACAGCGGTAAGGCTTTTCGCCTGTGTGAAGTCGGGCGTGTGTTGTCAGGTTGGACCGATGGCTGAAAGTTCTGCCGCACTCCTCGCACCCGTATGGTCTCTCACCGGTGTGAAGGCGCATGTGCACCTTCAGGTCCCAAGGCCTACGGAACTGCTTCCCGCACTCGTCACAAGGCAGCATTTCGGCTGGAAAAAAGAAAAAAATTGAATGTCAGAAGTGTCAACTACTTGTTGCAATTGTTGCAATGTTACAGAATGATTTTGCACATTCCCAGGATCGTCGACTGGCGCTTGGATCCTGTTACCGCCTAGTACTTCGCATGACCCCCGCATGGCATCCTCCCTCTCCCCGGCAAACTCCCGCCGCCTGCGCCGCTAAAAAGCGATATAACGTTACGTGCTAGCGGGCCATTCGCCATGCCCGCCCGCCGAAAACACACGAGAATTCAGCGATAGAAGAACGTTGGACATTTCCTACTACATGATTCATCATTACTAAGTCCGTTGTCGTAAAAAAAATACGAGAACGCCCCCCCCCCTTCTGCCCTAAAATAAGCATTACACTAGCTGCAAAGATTCTTGAAAAGAGCTGACAATGCTGGAAAAAGATATCAGGCTGGCTAGAACACTGACGCTATATTTTCCAAACGCATTAATATAGGGATTTACAGTACTTACATTCAAAGGTTGTCGGCACGGTCTGTGTAACTGTAAGTAGTATGTCTGTCTCTTCTGGTCACGTCTCGCTGTCTCGTCTCTGTGGCAGTGAATGGCTAAATCACACAGAGCACAGATTTTTAAACACCAAGATCAAAGGGCCGCCATCTAGAGAGGTTGATTAGATGACAATAGAATTTGGCGTGCTGAAGTTCAAGACAATCAAATATGCACCTATCTACGACATAATGAGGAAACAATGAGTTTAAACTAACTAATCAACAAGTTACTACTAGTAATTTCTACGATTACCAAAGAAAGTCAAACCGACAATTCTCCGACCGCGCAGACAATTTCCAATTGTCGCCGTGTTGTTGTAGGGTGAAGCCCGCGCCCGTTTTAGGCGCCAGTCTACACCTGTTCGCGGCAAGGATTACCGTTAAATCAATTTTGATAAGATCACTCCCCCCTTATTCTACTTCCAAAGAACCAAAATGCTTGCTACGACCTGATATATTACGGGGTTCTCTTTAGCAGTAGATTTGTTTCTGTTTTGACGGGGAAAAACTGCTAAATCGGCGTGTTTACGTGTCAGAGACCCACACGGCACCGGGGTGGATTGAACCTCAAAGACGTGTGCTATGAAACCGCGTCTAAATGAATATTTCCCCCAAAGGATTCTTTGAACTAAGCGATTCTTAACTAGAATGTCGTTACGTCTAGTAGTAAACAACAACGTTTGTTAGCTTTAACGCAGGAGTAAAGATGGTCAGAGAAAGAAATATTTTAGACCTCCGGTGCCCTCCCCCACGAGATTTGCATACTGACGGGTGACGGATAACATTATCGTAATCCAAAAACTGTCTTACAAAAACTGCAGCAAGAAACTTCACCGATTCGATATCAATAAAATATGTGGTAGAACCAACCCCATCCTCCCAATGATTTTTTTGGTAGCTCTTGGGCCAATTTAGCAGTATAACATGGACGTGACGGCAGCCTTCTCAAAACAAGCCGGCCACCGGCGAAAATCGCCGCCTACTCAAATTTTTGCGCCGGCTACTTTCGTGTAAATTTTCAGAAAAACACTGTAGTCTCCGCAATTTTTCTCACAAACTCCACCGGCTCATTTATTCTGACGAACTTCAGACAATTTTCTGCTAGCTTTCTGGATCTGAAAACTGCTTCTTTCTTAGCCTCCTGTGCAGCTTTCTAGTGCACGAGTCAGCGTTTGCTTCTACGAGCGGCCCGCGGCCAGAGCGGCCGAAACTTTACGGGGGGAGGGTCTTGTTGTTCGGGGCTCGAGTGGTATCCGCGGAGCTGTATCGCTCCGTATCGCTCGAGCTAGGCGGAATTTGCTTCCTAAACTCGTTGCTCACGAAAATTTATCAAGCCGCTACCTTCCCAAATTCTCCCGGCACTAGTAACATTCCTGCTACAAATAACTAGTACAAATCACGTCAAAAAATATCAAGACATGTACAGAATCGTGTTCATATCTTTCTTACACAGTTAGAAACACAAGACAAATTTTCAAAAACAAATCGCCATCAGCGAGATTTCACAGCTTTTTCATTCATCAAAAGTTCTTGTCGATCGTAAAATGATCACTCATCTGTTGTCTCCACTAGTGTGTCATTTGTAGCGTAATCACGGCGAGCCAAAAATCAGCGTCAAAACTAAGAAAACCCCGGAATAAAAAACGCACACTCCGCATCGCTGTACAGAAACAGGAGATTTCAGGCGCCATCTTGTCATGAATAAGTAAGTAGCACCACGAGATCGACGCTCTGATTGGTTCACCTCACATGACCTGCGTTCTGATTGGATAAGCGATGTGGCTAGCAGCACGCAGCGCGGGAACATTTTTCTTCGACGGTGAAGAAGAGAGACACATTTACGCTGCTTTCTACGTTTTTTCTACGACTACTTAGCAACATCCTATTACAGAAATGCATAATTAAAAGAATTGTCGGGGAGATTTATATTTCTCTACGCCGATTTTTGGCCTTTTTCTCGTAATATTCTTGTTCAAGGAACCCGCAAGTCAGTGTACCGGGACGCGGGGTGAATTTCCATAGGGCATTTATGGCCCGCACCCCGCTAGAATTAAGCCGTCAAAACAGACACAAAACTTCCAAAAAGCGAACCTGTGACATTTTTTCAGATCCCAATGATTATATTTTCGATCAAATTGACATTTAAATATGCTTTCTTTATTTTTCTGCATTTTGTGGCCGGGCCGCGCGTAATACGCCTGCAAGGAGGCTACGGTCTCCGTGCCGTCCGGAGCTGGCGCGCCCCCCTCCCCTCCTCTGCTCCGAACGTCAGTCTGATCGCAGCGTCCCGCAAGTTGGGACGACTTTCTATTAAATAAACCGCTCTTCCTCGGCTTATACTGGCGGTGGTCAAAGGGAAAAAACCCAGAGACGCCTGCCTGCAAACCTACATAATTTTGAGCGAAGTAATCGGGGAAAATAAGCAGTAATAATACACGCTAACTTAAAAAAATGTGTATCGGCGCTGTTGTTCCACGCAATGCTCTGATTTATGACAACAAATTATGACACAAATTATGACTGAACAATCTACAACTGTTTTTGTGTACCAAACAATGCGGCTGTACAAAATCAAAGCATTTTTAACACGCCCCAAATTCAAACAGGGTGTGTATATAAAAGACAAATAGATTTTCTATACAGTCTGGGAGGGGTTTATGGAAAAAGGAGTCCAGTCCGATTGGCGGAAAAAGCAGTCCAGTCCGATTTTGGTTTCTACGAAATTTTACGAAAGACCATAGGCACAATTTTTTCTTGTGTGTGTACTTCTAGTTTCTATGGGTACTTCGCATTTCTATGAGTACTTAGAGTTTCTATGGGTACTTAGAGTTTTTATGACTATTTAGAGTTTGTATGGGAACTTGAATTAGCATATATGACTCACTATATGCCGCCTTAACCCGTAATTCAGGCAGCCTTGGGTGAGGAATAGCGGACAACTGATTTACACCTCTTGGGACCACCCAAAAGTAGTTTCTATACATACAGGTCACCTATGTATCCTGGCAACCATAAAGCGATTTAATCAGGCTACTTGCAAGCAGGATTGGCCCTGGAAATCTCGTCAGTTGACCACTTCATCTTTTGACTAATTATTGTAACAGTTATATGTAAGTAATAATCCGGAGGCATGATGATGATGATATGTAAGTTACAAACTGTAAGTTCCCATGTAAACTCTAATTACTCATAGAAACTCTAAGTTCCCATACAAACTCTAAGTACTCATAGAAACTCTAAGTACCCGTAGAAACTCGAAGTACTCATAGAAACTCGAAGTACCCATAGAAACTAGAAGTACACACCCAAGAAAAAATTGTGCCTATGGTCTTTCGTAAAATTTCGTAGAAACCCCCGGACTGCTTTTTCCACCCCAAAATCGGACTGGACTGCTTTTTCCGCCAATCGGACTGGACTCCTTTTTCCATAAACCCGTCTGGGAGTGTATGTCTTTTGTAAAAGACAGATAGATTTTCTATACACTCTGGGAGTGTATGAAAAAGACAAATAGATTTTCTATACACTCTGGGAGTGTATATAGCCACGTTCTTTTGTTTTTGCTGTGTGTTTGTGGGGGGGGGGCACAAGGACGATCGCGAATTGAAAACCAGCGCGTAGGTATCAGGACACTTCGGCCCATGGACAGTTCGGCCCCGGCGTTTCGGCCCCAAGTGCAGGACGGTTCGGCGCCAAGCGGAAGTCAGTTCGGCCACAAGAATATAAAGAAATTAGAAGCCATACAGAGGCGCGCGGCTCGTTTTGTCTCAAACCGGTTTCACAACACTTCTAGTGTGACCGACATGCTTGAATCACTGGGTTGGAGCTCCCTGGAGACACGGAGACGGATCTCGCGGGTGGGTATACTGTACAGGATTCAGCATGGAATCGTGCAGTGCCCTACTATAGCAGCAAAACATACCTAACTAACCATTGCAAGCAAGACACATAACCCTAACCCCCTTTAATAGCCTCCCAAAATTTACACACATTCCAGAACACAAATGCCCCAACCCTAACCTTTGTTGTCGGCGGCGATGAAACCCAGGATGCTCTCGTGTCTCAGCATGACCGTCTGGTAGATCTCCGCCTCGCGGAACCACGACCTTTCCTCCCGGGACGAGAAAATCTTCACAGCGACATTCTCGCCCCGCCAGCGTCCACGCCACACCTCCCCAAACCTGGCAGAACAAAAACAATCATGATGTTTCTGACCCACATAGACACACACACAGGCACACACAAACACATAGTCACACACACACGTAACCTTAAGCTTACTGGGTTCCCACTTTAATAGCCTCCCAAAATTTACACACATTCTAGAACACAAATCCTTCAATCACTTGAAAGAAAATGGGAAGGATTGCTCCCAAAATTGCGCCAGGCCCTGCGCTACAAGGTCAACACGATAAAAGAGTCTGCCCCCCCACACCTTTTGAAAATAACCCACATCAGAACTTTTCGAAACTAACTAACTAACTAACTTACTAACTAATGCTAACCCTAAACCGTAATCCTAACCCATCCCGTACGCTCTGTTTAGGCCTGACAAGTTTCAAAGCGCCAGGCCCGAAGATATTAGAACAGACACATACCTAACTAACCATTGCAAGCAAGACACATAACCCTAACCCTAACCCTAACCCTAACCCTAACCCTAACCCTAACCCTAACCCTAACCCTAACCCTAACCCTAACCCCCA